TGGTCAAGGCTCATGTCAAATTGCAGCAGCAGCAGGAGGCCTCGGAATGATTAAGCACAAATGAGAAAATAGCACAGAGATGCTCTACGGTTTCCCAAAGGCCACCCAGCACGTGAAATGCTTTCCAGGGTTCAGGTCAACCAGTGGCTGAGCCCCAAGGCTCTATTGAGTGTGAACTGGCCTGTGCAATTATCACCTGGAAAGAAAAAAACAACTAGAGATCAAATCTCCATAAAGTACTCATGAAAGGCTGACTTTGCTTCATGACCCTCCCCGGTATGCCCTTCATAACAAACGATTTGCTAATGTTCACCTAGGAAACTAAATGGAAAGAGTTGTTGTAAGAGGTATTTATGTGTAAACCAATCAACATCAGCAAAACACTTTAGTCCTATAATGATTGATCTTTAACCCTGCGTTATGGCAATGTAAAGCCAGGAGGAAAGTTGTGTATTGAGACCTCTCAGAGTTTGAAATAACAATGCCATCTGTATCTTAGAAAAGAATACTTTTCTCTTGCATTCTTTTTTTTCTTTCTAATTAGGGGTGGTGGTGGCAGGGCAAATATCTAGCACATATTAAGTAGTAAATTAGTATGGGAGCTGATTGTAGAGGACTCTGTCCCATGTCACTCTTTACAGAAACAGGAGGCTGCACTCTGCTCTTGACCTTCCCCAGAAATCCAGCTCAGAGCAGGCCCTGGGGTCCCTGGGGTTGAAAATGGTTCCCCCTTCCTGCATCTCAGAGCAGCAATTTCTGTGTTAGACAGAAAATTCATCCATGTTCATTCCTTCATTTGTTCATTCATTCATTCATTCATTCGTTTATTTGTAAGTGAATAAATCTGCCATAGCAAAAAATTTAGGCATGTAGGCTAATATGGGGTTAAGTTGCTTAATTTGCAAATGAATTTATCTGGAAAGTTCTTTAATGTTTAATTGTGCACTTCACACACATAATTATACACAATTAGGGCAGTGCCTAAAAATCTGGGCCAAATAAACCCACTCTCAACCCAATCCCATGTGCCCTCGACACATACCCCCAGAGCTGAACAAATAGGTGTTGTAAATCTGACAGAAGCAGGGGATGTTTAACCCACTGAGTAGCACAAAAGCATTTTTTAAGGCTCATGCAATAGCTGGTGTTTGTGTATAAACCATAGTGCTAATTGAAAAGCAGTCTTATCAATTAAAGAAGGTCCTTAAGAAGAACTGTGTAGAAACATTTTATTAGCCATCAGGTTGAGTCACTACGTATGCCAGGAAATGCTACAGCATTTCTTGAAGAATACCCTACAACTCAGATGCTCAAAGGTGGTGCCATGGTGATCAGCACCCCTGAGATCTTGCAATGTTCCTGATGGGCTTGTAGACCATGCCCTCTGGACTTACCTGTGCCTGGGCTTTGACTATCAGCTCTTCCACACTTTATCTCTGGGAAACTGGGCAAGGTAGCTCTCCTCTCTGTTCTCAACTTTCTCTTCTACTAATGGGTTTGGTACTGCCCTTGACATCTATTGGGTCTATCAGGCCCAGTGCCCAATGACGAAAGTCACCATTAGGGCTGCTCTCTATCAACCCCACCCTAAAGTGCCTGGCCCACTTGAAAGCTTTATTCATAAAAGCCCAGGGTGGACCTTGGGCAAGAAGCTGAACAGAGTGAGGAGTGTGCTTGACCCTGACCTTGAGGTTGGAATGATGGCACTTTCAGGCTTACCATGCTTAGGGCAAATCACATCTTCCAGAACTTTAAATGGTTTCCCAATCACCTGGAAAACACCAGCATCAACAAAGACTGTTCTCTGAGTAATCATCAGGAGAAAGTGTTAATTGCTAAGTGTCTAAATCGTACCAGAGACACTTTACGATTTTATCTCATTTCCTTTGCACAACCACTCTATGAGGGAGGGATTGTAAGCCCCACCATTTTGGAGGTGGGGAAATGGAAGTTCAGAGAAGTGTAGTAACTTCCTCCAAGGTCACAGAGCCACAGAAGGCACAGCAGATCACAGATGCAAATTCAAGTCTGGGTGACTCTAACACATTAGGCTGCCACATTATGTTTGTAATCCTCAAAACAAACCAATGGGGAGGTGCTGATAAGAACTGAGAGAGATGTGATTCTGGGGGAAAAAAAAGAGGCTTCCTGGGAAAAACAAGTCTGGGCTGGTGGAGAGGGGGTAGAATGTAGCACAGACCAGGGCTGGGGGTGGAAGAGCACGGTCAGAGTGGATACATGGTTTGCAGCTGGGCACTGCTAGTATGAGGAACTCAAGAACTATGCTACTTCTTTGCAGTCTATGCTGCAGGGCAGGGCAGGGACTCATGTGCATACGTCCATCTGCCTCCGCCCACACTGAACCTTGATTTCTCAAAGGCAGGCATGTATTTCTTTCATCTTTATTTCTCCCAAACCAGCAGAATGTCTGGTACAGAGTTAACAGTCAACACACTTAGTACATAGGTGGGTGAGCCAAAGACTGGTGAGTAATCATGGAAGTTTTCCTGCACAAGGGGGGTCTCTCTCTCTGTGAAGATGTGGACAAGAGGGATGTGACTTACTGGACAGAAAGCTTAGGGCTGCTTTATAGTGTGAAGAACAAGAGAGAGAGAGAGACTCTGGGGTAGAGGAGGGGGCGTGGAATGGGAGGTGGGAATAGAATGCAAAAACACTGGCTCCCCTGAGCTGCTCCAAGGGCATACACCTGCTACTCAGGAGTTTGAAGCAGGAGGATTTCTAGTTTGAACCTAGCCTGGGCAATTTAGCGAGACCTTGTCTCAGAATAAAAAAAATTAAAAAGGTTGGTGTGTAGCTCAGTACTCCTGGAAAGTTCAATCCCCAATACTGAAAAGAAAAAAAAAAAGAAAGAAAGAAAGAGAAGAAAAAAAAAGAAAGAAAGAAAGAAAGAAAGAAGCTTCCTCACTTCCTAAATTTGGAAAGAAGCATTTGCACCTGCAATTTGGAAACAAACATGCCTTGAGTTCAGGTCCTAACTCTAGCATTACCAGCTGTTTAACTTAGATACAGCACTTTACTTCTGTGAGCCTCAGTTTCCTCATCTGTACAACAGCAGTAAAAACAGCAGCATATCCCTGAGAAGATAGTTGGGAAGACAGATCAGATGCTATGACAACCTCACACAGGCCCTGACCCCAAGCATAGTTTTAAAGCCCGTGTCCCATGGAGGCAGGCCTGCGGCCTGGGCCTGGTATCGCAGGTGAGTGAATGCAGGAGGCTGATCCGCTTTCATCACTTGTACCTATTTGTTTCTGCTCTGTGAGCTTCCGGGATCAATAAGCCACTGATGTCATGCCACATGTTGCCTCAGAGTGCACTGGGTCACTGTTCTCAGGAGAAGGTCAGAGGAGACAGAGAAATACTTCAGAGTGGATACCAACCTAGAGGGGCATGATCTGAGCTGCCTTCTCCACCCCCTCCCAAGGCGTGCGATGGGAGCCTGGCATGCCCTAGAGACGCCAGGCTGGCCCACCAAGGCACCTGGCCTGGCCTCAGCTTTGACTCCTGTCAGCCACTCACACTCTCTGCTCCTTTCCTCCTGGTGGGAATTCAGCATCATTGATTCAGTAGGTTCCTGTCATTTGATGTCATTTGATCCTCTGCATGGGGCAAGCTGACAAGCTGCACCTCCTCCCCACAAGGGGCTGGTTTCCAGGGGATTTTCAGGGAAAGGAGGTAAGCAGGCAGGGAAAGCCCCATCCTTGTCTCCCACCTATAGCTCCAGCTGTGCTTCCATCTGGCAAATCCTGGAGCAGGACACACACACACACACACACACACACACACACACACACAGTCCAAATGGAACAAGTGCAGCCAGTCCTACCTGGCACCCAGCTGTCTTTTTTTTTTTTTTTTTTAAATCAAACTCAGAAACTCCTGAGAGCCCTGTGGGGGTGGGGGCTACTTGTTGCTCTTTCTCAGGGGCTCCAAGGGGCACTCTGGCTTTTCCCGCTGGGGAGGGGCTCCTTACTGCTCCCCTGGAGTGCCCCCCCCCCCCCCCCCCTGCAGGGCCACAGCAGAGGCACTGAGTCTTTAGATAGCTCCCTTCTTTCCATTTCCAGCCTCTCCCTTCTGACCCAGGCTGGGTCTGATCTGGGAGCCCACAGTGGTGCAGAGGAATGCTGCTGCACCCCGATGCCTGGCTCACGGTAGGTCACCAACTGCCTCCCCGCGACCGAGCAGTGGGGTCAGGGTGTCAAGTTCTCACTCCCGGGACGGGGTTGTCCACCTCGGGGAGGAGCCCCCCCAGCCGGTCCCTGAAGCTCCTTCTGAAAAAAAAAAAAAAAAAAAAAGCGAAAAAGAAACTTTCTGCGGGTCCCCAGCCCCCACCAGCCCTTCGGCCCCGCCCCGCCCTTGCCCTTCTCTGGTAGCAGCCAAGCAGGAGGCGGGCGGAGGGAGGCAGGATCGCAGCGCCCGCCGGTCTCCCGTCGCCCCTCGGAGGCGGGGTACCATGGAGCCCAGGTCCGAGCCCCACGCCGCGGTCCCCAGTCTCCGGGTCCTTGCCCCTCGGAGGTGGCGCGCTGGCTTCCTCCTCGGAGGCGCTAGCCGCGGCCGCTGGCATTTGGAATTCTGCCCCCAAAAAGGGGGCCTAGGGGAAGGAGGAGAGGAGGGACGGAGGCCGGCGGCGAGAAACGGCATCCGGAGTCCAAAACATCACGGGGAAAGGAGCAGAGCGCGGCGGCGGCGGTGGCGGTGGCGGTGGCGGCGGCGGCGGCTGGGAAGCTGTGCCCGACCGCAGTGCATCAGAGCCGCTGCCCTGACATCCCCCCAGGATGGTTAACACGGGACATCATGCGCTGGTTAACAGGCTCCGAGCTGCTCAGCGACTTGTTTTAAGCATTTTTCTCCCTCGCTCTCGCTTTTAATCTTGTCTCTAGTGGCGTGTGTAGGGGGGAGGACTTTATTTCCATTGGCTAAGCGCTCCCTTCCCACCCACATCCCTTCCACATCACCTTGGTGTCTCCCTAAATAAAACCAGCCCTCCTTATCGCCTGGAAAAAATCAGGAGCTAGAGTTTGAATGGGTTTTATATAAACACTCACCCCTTGTCAGCGTGCGGCAGGGCTCTCAGCATAAACTCCCAGCGTCTGGCCTGATGCTTGCCTGGCGTTCTCTCCCTTGGAACGTCAAGGTTTAAGCAGAACCGAGGACTGGGGAACTCTTTTCCTGTAATCTGATCAACCTGAAGCCAGTTGCAGAACTGCACAGGGTCCCGATGGACCTCAAGGAGAGCCCCAGCGAGGGCAGCCTGCAACCTTCTAGCATCCAGATCTTCGCCAACACCTCCACTCTGCACGGCATCCGCCACATCTTCGTGTATGGGCCACTGACCATCCGGAGGGTGCTCTGGGCAGTGGCCTTCGTGGGCTCCCTGGGCCTGCTGCTGGTGGAGAGCTCAGAGAGAGTGTCCTACTACTTCTCCTATCAACATGTCACCAAGGTGGATGAGGTGGTGGCCCAAAGCCTGGTCTTCCCGGCTGTAACCCTCTGCAACCTCAATGGCTTCCGGTTTTCCAGGCTCACCACCAATGACCTGTACCATGCTGGGGAGCTGCTGGCCCTGCTCGATGTCAACCTGCAGATCCCTGACCCGCATCTGGCTGACCCCACAGTGCTGGAGGCCCTGCGGCAGAAGGCCAACTTCAAACACTACAAACCCAAGCAGTTCAGCATGCTGGAGTTTCTGCATCGCGTGGGCCATGACCTAAAGGATATGATGCTCTACTGCAAGTTCAAGGGGCAAGAGTGTGGCCACCAAGACTTCACCACAGTGAGTACTTGGTTTTCAGCTCACTCTTGCGTTTGGTCCTCTGGAGGAGTGGTGCGCCGGTGGTCTTCTGAGTATTTGGGAGTCTCCCGGTGCTTGGGAGCAGGAGAGAGAGCAGAGCTTCAGCCGAAGGCCAAGAGAGTAGTTGGTGAGAGTTGTTGGAGCTGGTTGTAGAAAAGGCTACCTGCGGGGGTAGAGCACTTGGTCAGTTCAGACATGGAGGGTGACAGAGGGGCTTACCGTGGGGTCACTTCCTCAGACGTGCTGAGCTGGCTTCCTCCCAGCCAGAGGGAGGAGGCCTGGGTAGTCCGTTGTTGTCCGGGGCGCTTGGTGTCCGAGCCGTGTGATTGGAACAGCTTGTCATTGACGAGGTGGCATCCTCTCTCTCTCTCTCTCTCTCTTACTGTCTATCTCTCTCTCTCTCTGCTCGGAAGTGGCATCAGGCACTGCATCCTGTGGGCTGGGCTGGAGCTAAAGCTGTCAGAGAAGGGGGTGTGGGGCCCCAGGCAGCATGGATGGCTCTAGGGCTTTGGTGGCTTGCTGGAGCAGGTGATGGTGCAAGGTGTGGAGGCTCTTTGCTTCTTTATCTTGTGTGGGTTCAGAGGGAGAGGAGAGGCTGGCCCCTGGGGCCTCCATCTGGTCTGCTGGCAGGCTGAAGCAAGGAGCAGTCCAGAGAGCCGGGGCAGAGGGGAGGGTCTGGTGGAGGCATGTGAGCAGGGTGGGCACCGAGATTCCTGGGAGGGTGCGGCGTCCCGGTGGCTGGCTTGTCTGGGAGCTTTAGCTTGAAACTCAAAGGCTTGTTTTTTTTTCTGTGCACAATTGCTTCACGATGTGGGTGCAGGAGGAGGGTTTGGGGAGGGGGGTGAGCAGCTGTGGGATTGGGAAGCCCTGAGGGGAGTGTGGAACTGAGGAAAGAGGAAACACAGAGGGGAATGTGGCTCCCATTCAGGATGGGCTTGTTGGAGGGGGCTGAGTGGAAGGATGGGAGGAGAGCTGTTGTTGCTACCAGGTTCTTGGCCCAGTTAGTGAGCTGCCAGGCACAACTTGGTATAGTAGGTCAGACGGCAACTGCCAATTGTCCAGCAAGTCTGGGGCATCAGGGGCGGTGGGACCCTCCTGAAGTCCAATGTAGCTGCTTTCCCCATGACCGCCTTGGGGAGAAATGAGAGCCTTTGAGTCTCAGAGCCTTGAGCCAACATGCAATTACAACAAGTTTGGGATGGCAGGTGCAGCAATTGCCAAGGGACTGGACAGTGTCATCTGGACTTATTTGGGGTCCTTTGCCTCCTTAAGACCTCCCCTACATTTCTATGGTGCTTCTTCCCCACCCCCTCCCAGATTCACCTGCCTCTTGCTCTGAGTTCGTCTTATTCTATAGCCAGCCTCTGCCTGCAACCTCTGTGCTTGCTGTTGGCTGTCTCTGATTTTGGAAAAGCCCAGAGTGCCAGGGGCATCGCCTCTCACAGCTCATGTGCTAGAGATCTGTTTCCTGGAGGAGCCGTTTTGTATTATGCCTTTAAAACATTCTGAGGAAAAGCACAGCAAAGCCAGCCATGGTATTTGCTAAAGAGGAAGCCAGTCTAAGCTGGAGGAAGGACCAGCCCCTTTAAATGGTGCTAGCAGGATCCTAAAACATGTCACACACAAATGATGTCTTAGGTGCCTTGGGGAGAGAGGAGGAAATGCCTCTTTCTTGGAGGCTGATACCGTCACTCTGTTCCACCCCATGCTTTCTAGTGCCTGGCAACGCTCAGCTTCAACACTGTACCATGCATCTTGGAAACACACTCAGCTGTTCCTCTGTCTGCCTGTGCACACATGGAACACACAGACAGCAGACAGACAGTCATGGGCAGCAGGCCCTGGACACAGTCCTTAAGAATCCTCATGACTTTGCATCCACCTGGAGGCTTCTTCTGTATTCATGTCCAAGTTCCATTTGGAAGTAAAGGTTTTTGTGACCTCGGGCTGCTCTCTTGCACTTGGTTCATCATTTGAGCTTCTGGGGTCCCATGAAGCTAAAGATCAGACCTTAAAACCTTACGTGTCTTTGGCCTCTCTGGCATGTCTCCAAAATAGTGAAGGTGCCTGTGGATGAGGTTTAGTACTTGATGGGTGGTGTGTTATCATCTGCCATCCTCATCAGGTTTAAGACCGTTCAAGACCTGTCCTTGGACTGACCCTCTATGTATGACTGTCCCCAGCCTTGAAAAGGGGGTGAACCATGGTGCTGCTCTTCCAGGTGCTTAAGGATATCACAAAAGGCACCTGCTCCAGGAAAGCTAGAGTGGACCTGGGAAGGCTGTCGTCTTCACCAGGTGGTCACAGCAAGTGGCCATGCCGAGCCTCTACTAGAGGGACCACAGTGTTTGAGTGGGAACCCTCCTGACCGATGCTGGGACTCCCTGTGTCCTTTGGGCCCTGGGCCTAGGGATGTTTATTCTTGGGCTCTGAGAAAGCTGAGGTCTTGGGCAGGTGGTTCTGGAAGAAGCCAGCACACCAGCCTCTCTGCCTCTGCTGTGCATCCCTCTCCACTTGGCTTGTTTCTGGGCTCTGCTTGGGATTGCACTACGCTCTTTCTCTAAGTGCTGAGACTAAAGTATTAGAGAAGCTTGCTGTGGGGGAGGGGCCGACACAGGTGAGTGGCTTTTTTTCTGTATTTCTTTTTCTATAAAGCGTCCTTCATGGTCTCTCCAGGGCTAATGCCTTAGCATAAGCTTCCTTATTCCAAGTCCTTAGCTGGTGTGCAGTGAAGTGCGTAATACCCTTTAATTAGTGAATGAGCCGTGATTCTAGCAGAGTGAGAGGAGGCTGTTTGTAGAGACTAAATGTCCCCAGGAAGCCAGGTGTGGAATGCCTGACTGTCACATAAACAGGTGTTCTCCATGGGCGTGCAGGTACACTCTTAGCCATCATTTGGGGCAATCTGACTTCAGGCAGGCATGCACTTCTCCTCCCTGGGAAAGTGCAGAAATCAAAGCAGAAGAAGGCTTTGATTTCAGGGTGACCTATTCATAGGAGATGGCTCCCACTGACCTGGAAGGAAAGGAAGGGACAGCAGGGAGTTGGATAGCAGCGGAGTTGCTCGTGGGGATGTTGGAGGATCTGAGTTCAAGACCACCTGGCCTCCCCAGGTCTATTCTAGCTTACCTTAGCAAGGCAGGTTTGAAGCCCAACCGCATCACGAGTTCCTTTCCCCTGGTTGTAGCTCTCTTCCTGTCTGGGCTCCTCTTGCTCACCTAACATGTGATGGTGATCTGTGACTTTCTTCCCCATGGAGGGTTGAAAGGATGGAGCAGGTGAGGCAGGACTTGTGAAAGTCCTTTAGTACATTTTTCCAGCCACATAAGGCAAGGTTCTTGTCAGTATCTGTGGAGGGACCTGTTGTCCTGCTGTGTGCCTTGTTTGCAGGAGTGAGACTTGATGAGAAATGCCCACAAATGACACTGTGGAGGGAGGGGCGGCTGCTGCTCTGTCTAGAGCACTGGGTTAGAGCCCTGCCTCCCTGGGGGTGGGGGTGGGGTTCCCTAGCTAACTGTTGCTGACGGTGGCAACCCCACTGGTGATGACTAGCACGGGACTCCTTTGTGTTGTTCCCTGACTCATCACACTGGGGATCATCTGACTCCAACTCCAGGAATGCAAAGGACACTTTATTTTTCACTTTTATCCTGATTTCTGAAGTTGCGTTTGTACTGACCCTTGAAATTTCTTAGGAAAGGTGTTTCTTTCTTTCTTTTTTTTTTTTAGCAAAAGAAGGGTCTCTGCCCTCTGAGATCTTCTTGGAGGCACTGTATGGATCCTATTAACGGGTACCACATAACACGATAGAGATGTTGGGGCGAAGGTTTAAGATCATGTCTTTGGGGTTCTTGCAGGAGGCCAGTTGGGTCCATAGCTAATGTGGTCTGATTCTTATCGCACGGGGAGTTTGTATGTGAGACTATGGGCTTTAGGCCTTTCGGGACAGATCTGAGCTGGAATTCCAACGGTGACTTCAACAGCAGCTTCAGAGTGCAGGCTGTGCTTTGGAGATTCTTGGTTCTCCTTACACGTTGCTCAGTGCCTGCCTTCCCATCCGTTCTCAGCACCCCTCCGTCTTGGTTTCCGTTTTCCATCTCACATTCCCAAACTCACCTCCAGGAAGCTCCTTCCTGCCCCAACCTCTGACGGGGGTGGGGTCATCGAAGCACCATGTGTACAGCTTGGATCACCGTGTGTTGTGTTGGTCATGCATGGTCATTTTTTGATGGTCACTGGTATCTACTGAGCAGTAATGGTCAATGCAGACGGGGTCCTTGGCATGCTGGAGCCACAGTGTATTTCCAGCCCCTCCAGATGCAGCTGGACTCATTCAGCACAGACTCCTCCTACCAGGTCAAGTATGGGAACCGCCCGCAGCAAATACCCAGGAAATAGTTAAATAACAGAAAGTCATATACTTTTTGTTCCCTGAGTTGACCCAGAATTCGCCTTTCTTACTCTGTTTCTTTACCTTTTGTGTCCTCTCTCCAGGTCTATTTATGTCAACACTGCTTATCTTTTAAAATCCATTGCCCATGCCTTCCCATTACCATAATCTAAATTAATCTCTTCTTCTGTCTTCTAAACAGCATTTGGTTTACTTCTCTGTTAGCGCTGTCATTATGCCTTTTGCTGCCATCAGAATCATGAAGTGTTTGGGCTAAAAGGGACCTTAGAGATGACTTAATTTACTTGCTGAGTTTTTAAACCACTGCTACTCTTTGGATTTATTTTTTAATTCACAGGTAAAAATTGTATGGATCATGGTGTCCAGCATGATGTTTTGAGATACGTACCTTGTGGAATGGCTAAATCAAGCTACTTAACATATGCATTACCATACGTACTTAGCTTTTTATGTGTGTGCGTGGTAAGAACACATGAAATCTATTCTTTTAGAAATCTTCAAGTATACAATATATTGTTACTTACTTTAGACACTAGGATGTACCATAGATTTCCTGAACTTAATTTCCTTAAAAT